TTGAAATACAGCAACAGGTGAGACAAAGTCCCTGACCCCAGGTCCCAATATCCAGACTGGTGTTGGGAGAGGAGAGGCAGCAGATAAGCTGTGTTTTACGTGCCTTGGTGGTGAGTGCTGTGAAGAATGATAAGGCAAGCTATATTGTCGTCCTCAAGAGGAGGAACACCAGAGGGAGGGGATAGGGTACAGCTCAGAAGAAAAGTCACAGAAGGCATCAGGTCAGATCTTGGGCACTTGTGGATGTTTATAAGAAGTTTGGCTTCTGATCTGGAACAAGTCTTGGCACAGTTCTAGACAGAATAGAAACGTGACTGTGTCAGGTACACTTTAAAAACAGTGACCCAGGGTGGAGGACCTGGGTCTTGGACCTGGGTCATTACGGTTTAGTGTGACATTGGATTGTGTGTCTACTTTGAAGTGGAGCTAGTAGGATTTACTGACACAGTAGATGAGGGATGTGAAAGAAAGAGGAGTTGGCAGTGAATTGTGGTGGTTTTGGACTAAGCAACTGGAAGATAAAATAGCCATAAATGGACATGGGGCAAGAAGCTGTGTGGAATATTTTAAGGATAGATCAGAGACTAATTTTGGTTATATTGAGGTATTTTTAGACAACGATGGAGACAGATGTCCAGTAAGCAGTTACATGTACAATTCTGAGGTTCAAGGGGGAGGGCCCAGATTCATATACATTTGGGAATGTGTAATAGTATTTGAGACAATGAGATTAGGATGAATATAGATAACAAAGAGAAAAAATTCAGAGCTAATTTGAAGCATTTCAATAATAAGATATCCTGAAGGTCTAGGGATGTAGTTCAGTGGTAGAGCCCTTGCCTAGCATGCACAGGGTCTTGGGTCCCATCTACAGCCCCAAAAACATTTCCAGTAATGAGGAAGGACAGCAAAGGAGACTGAAAGGAAGTGACCAGTGGATAAAGGGTAAAATTGCAGTTTCCTGGAATTTAGGAGAAGAGTTTCAAAGGAATGTGAATGGTCCAGTGTCTCAAGTGCTGCTAATAACTAAGATAAGAATTAATGATTCACCACTGGATTTAGCAACCAGAAGTGCAACAAAATAATTTCTGAGAAGAAAGAAAGGGGTCATGATTGGAGTAGATTAAGTAGAGATTGGAGGAAAGGAATTGGTAAAAGCAGTTATAGAGAGTTTTCTGGAATTTGTCTATAAAGAAGAAAGAAATGAAAGGAAGATGTGAAAGGGAAGAATTCACAAGTTTTTGTTTTTAAAATGAGAATAATTAATAATTCAGAGGGAATATTTTGGTGAAGAGAGGAGCACTGCTAAAGAAACACCTTGAAGTAGATAAGAAATGGTGGGATGGCTTCAGGATCACAGACACTTTATCATATTAAGGACAGAGGTTCAAATCATGGACACATGTCAATAGCAGGAAGATGCAGAAGGTAGGCACTAGTAGAAGTTTTCTGATTTCTTCATTCTTTTCAGAAAAACAGAAAATAAGGCCATTGGCTAAGAGTGAGGATGAAAGAGAAACTCTTAAGAGGTTGGAAGAGAAATTAGAAAGCAGTTGTCCAGGTTAGATAAATAGACAAATATGATAACATGTGAGTTCTTTTTTAACTACCCATTTTATCTTTTAATTAGTATATGTCAAGTATGCAGAATATTGAACATGTGAGTTCTTGATAGTTACTCGGATTAGTCACTCAGATGACATTTTCTTTCTCTCTTTTTCTTTTTCTTTTTTTGCCTCTTTCATTTTTTCCCTGACAGCTAATGTCCAACCTAATGCCAGCATCAGTAAGTACATACTTTCAGAACTGGAGCCCTTTATAGCTAACCCTGTGTTATACTTACTGTCCTAAGCACCTCACCCGTTTATCGTACTTACTCACAGTGGCTACATGTATGGACATTCAGAGCCACAGAGGGCTGAGATCAGTCAGAGGTGAGAATAAGGTATTACTATTCTTAGATAACTGTGATGAAATAGATTTTTAGAAGGTCCTACAACTTCCCCAAGGTTGGTCAGCCATTAGGGGCAGTTCGGAGTTGTACATCTCACAGAGAAGTTAATCTTCCTTAAAATACAACCTCCCTCTTCAAACACACGGTCTATAGTCACCCAACACCTGATGGCTTGCTGAGGATTTTGCCTGCACTGACTTGACCATCCAGGAGAGGGCAGTCCTGTACACATAAGCAGACCTGCCCCACCCACAGGCTCTGTGACTCAGCTCTGGCAGTATCCTTGTTTCCAGGATTTCACCCTGAAGCCACAGCCCCTGATTCTTCAAGAATGTTTGCTGAAAGCAGTTGTTCTCAAACAATACTTTTTCCCCAAAGTGGCATCTGGCAACATGTGGAGATGTTTGGGGTTGTCATAGTAACTGCAGAGAAGCAAGGCATGCTGCTAGACAGATACCTTAATGCACAGGACAGCCACCTCCAACAAAGAACTCTCTGGTTCCAAAATGTCGATTGGTGCATTGAATAATCCTGCTCTAAATGAAAGTCCTTCTAAAGTGACTCTTAGGAGGAAATAGAGGATAGTTTCAACAAAGATGCTAATAATAAATAATAATAATAGCAGTCAGTCCAAATTAACTTATGGGTTCACGTCTTTGGTTCTGAGGGCTGAATGGATCTTGACTTATCATCTCAGCTGCTCACTTTCTGACTCTTGCCATCAGTGTGCTGAACTGGGATGTATGTGAATGTGTACCATTGGACACACAGATCATCCACAGGAGAGACTGTCCCCGCTTAGTGTCTAGGCCCTGCATACTGACCTCTTGTCTCTTTGAGGAAATGATCCCTTCTACTCTGTGGATATAAGGTGTAATCCAAACATACACTAAAAATTTAATTTTTTAAATTTATTACAATAACAGACACATTGGTATTAGTCTCCCTTAGAATACTCCCTCTCCCTTCAAGCAAACCGATCTCATCATTCTTAGCACTTTCCAAAGCTGCTCTGGAGTCCTTCTGCGAGTGCCTCTAGTTGTGCTGTCATGGCTGCCTCAGTGTCCTGAATGGATTAAAAACGTTTACCTTTCACAATTATTTTGACTTTGGGCAAGATGCAAGGAATAAAGTAGATGAGAACACATCACAATGTTTTTACAAGCCTGCCTTTCCATTGGATGTCACTGGCCACAGCGTTCATTGTATTTTTAGTCATACCTTGTAAAGATATGAAAGAGATGCCTGGGATGTGACACAAGCTCCTGCCTGGCAAGTGCAAGGTCCTGAGTTCGAGTCCTGATACCCACCCCCCCCCCCCCCAATGCACTAAGATGTGAAAGAGGCCATTCAGAACTCCATCAGAAAGTAGCAAGAAAAATAACAAGTGTGTTCAAAGAAAAGGAGAGGGTTTAACATGGGAATTAATGGCAATGTGTCTTTTACTGTAATAAATTTTTAAAATTAAACAGTCACTATATACTTTGATCATCCCTTGTATTCTCCATCTCCAAACTATTTGTCATTCTGGAAATACATCTTTGCAAAACCAGAATCTGTCCTGGGCCTCACGGCCTGGCAGGAATAGCAGTTTGCTTATTTCCTGGCTCCACGCACTTCAGATAGTCCAGAGGGTGGTTCTCAAGTCTACTGACCTAACCTATTTACACTTGATTCTAGTTGTGAGGAGCCACCTCCTTGGAATTGGAACTGCTTTTCTGAAACAGGCCCATTTGGGGAACGGATAGGCACTTATCCATTTTACCTGAAACAGATTGCTTCTGAGCTGTCATGAGCCCAGTGTTCCATCAAATATTAACTTTTCTCTATAAATCACGTTTCTCCCCTCTCACAGTGTGATTCTTATTCAGCAGAATATGGTCTGTGAAATCAGCTTTACTTTGGGGTGTTATTATTTTCCTCTCTTTTCTTTGTGCACAGTATGTACTGTGAATGTCTAAAGATGTATGAATTATGAACTTAATGTCAATGTATAGATATGACAGGAAATATGAAGCCATTTTTAAATGATGTTCAAGTTGTGAGTTTCACCAAAGACCACAGTGCCTACCCTCTTCCTTATAGTACTTCATTTGAAATACAAAGTGAGAGGATTTTAGAAGCCAAATATGGCTACAAAGCTAGGGTTTGGATTTACTAGTGGCTGCAGAACTAATTCAAGTGCTTCTTTAGATAAGGGGAAAGAAAGTAAGTTGTAGACACATGAATGGCAAAACATTGTTAGTGCTTTCTTGCTGGCCTCCATTTAAAGCAACACTGTGCTCCTAAAAACTATTAATAATAATTACAGTAAGCATTCTCACTTAGGCAGTACTATTTCTTTAGGCCCAGGCACTATGCCAAGCACTATCCAGGTAATCTCACTCCATTCCCAAACTGCCACCAGGAAATATGAATGCTCAGCAAAGATACTCCAAGAAGCCAGGTAACATGTCCCAGGATGCCCAGAAGAGTAAAACCGAGACTTGAACTTAGGAAGGTAGATGCTGTAAAGGCACTAGAAGTATTTATCTTGAAAGGAACCAAAAGGTGATTCTTCCTTTTTTTATGAGGTCTGAAGTTTGCTGGAGTAGTGTTCTTTCACCTGGTCCTGATGGCTCTGTGGTTTCATCAGTGTAACACATTTGTTTTATATCACAGTGGTGTGGTAGGAAAAACCTGGGGTTTAGAGTCTAGCATGCCCTCCCACTAATCATGTGTAACGAGACTTTACTGAAGTTACCTAACTCTTCAAGCCTTGGTTTTCATATCTGTAAAGTGAAATGAGTTTTAGAATACATGTCAAGTGCCTTGCAAATTGCTTGCTAATGTAAATGTAATTACATTAAAGAGTAATTAAAATACATTCTCAGTTTTGGAGTTTTGCTATGGAGATTTTCAGTTATATTAGGTGCTTCCGACTTCACATTGGCATTTGTGTTTCATGTGTTGCAGAAGACCAAGGGTGAAGACATGTGGCCTAATGAACTGCTTGCCCTGTTTAGGCAAACAGTAATGTTAGGTTTATTTGTGTTTTCAATTTTAGGCAGTGCCCAGGTTATTGAAGGTGGCCGAGTGGAATTTACCCCTCTTCTGGGCATTCGCTATTTGTGGTGGTACCATTTGATTGGCCTCATCTGGACTAGCGAATTCATCCTTGCATGCCAGCAAATGACGATAGCCGGGGTGGTGGTGAGCTGGTATTTCAACAGGTAAGTGCAGCCTTTCCACCTATTAGTCTGCTGGCTTCATGTTGTGTATCTCAAAAGACACTTAGGAGTTTGGCCTGATTCTTTAAAATTAGTTGATGAGGATAAAGGACTAAACTAAAAGTGGGGCTGGATGCTCATTGGGTGATCATTACACAGAAATAGTATACCTTAAACCTGTCATATTTCTAGATTCCTTTGCATTTCAAAAGAGGCCAAGCAGCAAAATGATCTTACTGCTTAGAACTGAAAAATACCTAAAAGGAAGAGTTGAATTCTCTGTAAATATCTGTTGTTATCCACTTCAGACTTTAAAAATTACCAGTGTCTTTTGAGTACACTTCAGTAAGTCTGTGAGCCCTGCTTTTCTTTATGTAAAATCAGGACAATGTTTGCTTGGAAAATGGTTTTAAATCCTAAAGAAATAGTGTGTAACTATAAACTATAATTCATGTCTATAGTTAAGTAATAGCAAGTTCATTGCCTGCTTCTCTGTTTATAACCCAGTACCTTATACAAACAACGAGGGGCACATACATACCCCACAGTCACCTGAATCCTCTGCCTTTCTCATGTGCAGCCTCCACAGGACAATGAGACTGCAGCCAGAAGAGCAGGCCCCAGGGACAATGACAGGCTTGCACCCCAAACAGGAAGTTTACTCCCAATAGGGCTGATCCTCCTCTAACTTCTCAGGCCAAATGAGTAGATAAGCATGAGTTTTCATAGGACAAGAAAGTCAACCAGGGATAATTCATGCCACTGAGCAGTTCCCTCCTGGCAGTAAAGAGCGCTGTGGGTTTTTAATAGTGGTGCTGTTTGGGAGGCCCATCATTAGGGACTCTGGAGGACCCACAAAGGGGCTGTTGACCTTGGCTTTAAGAACCTCCCAGAGGCAGGAGGTGGGGGGTCTGTGTTGCTTGCTCCTGTGTAGAAGAGCAGAGATCATTCTAGCCAAGCTGGCCAGCAGGTAACATTTGTCTGACAGAGTAATGTGTTATTTTAGAATAACAAAACCCAGGCATTTTCAGCGAGGGCTGTGATGTGGAGTTCCATGAAGCAAACGCAGTTATCTCCTAATCTCACCACTCTCTTCAACCCTGTCCCCTCCCAAATAAAATCATGAGTAAATGAAAAAAGGAGTAAACACCCAAAGGCAGTGAGAAACAGAGATGGGAGGAAAGTGGATAAGAAACATCAACCAAATGAGGAGAGATGAAGGCAGGATAGCTGACTGGTGACTGGCTGTGCGGGAAGAAGCCACAGGGCCTGTCCCTGTGTGTTGGCTGAGTGAGGAAGCTCTAATAAGATGCAGGCTTAATTGAGCCACAAAAATCCAGAGAGGCTCAGGAATTCAAGTGTATAGTTCCAGAGACTGGCTGTAAGTCTTCCTGAGGAGCAGTTAGATCCAAGATCCCTCCTCTGTACAAACAGGATATCTTTGCTCTCCAGAGATATCAACCGGAGAGGACATGGGGTATCCGCTACAGCCGAGACTGGGGCAAGGCTCTATACCCAAATAGGGAAAGAAAGTGAAAGTCTAAATACCGTCTAGTGAGGAACCCCTCATCATCAACTCCCCACATTCTACAGCTCAGCTCCCATGGTGCCAGGAGCCAGGCTGATTCTCTGTGAAGATGTTAGAGGGTTCTGCTCTGGAGAGACTGTCTAACTCAAGTAAAGACCTGTCAGTGGTGTCATCTGGACTCCCCAGTGAAGTGAATTCCCTGACTCCTAACCAAACAGTGCAGTATCGAGGCAATAAACCATACCCCTCATACAGAGCACTTAATTCACTCTTAAATTTGAATTGTTAACCACTGATGGTTAACATTTGAAGAAAACCACTAGTTGAAGATAGCTCAAAATAAACAAAACAAACACAAAGAATTTAGGGAAAACAAACACAATACAGGCTGTAAAAGAAAATTACCCCAAAAATCTAAAAACCTGTGATATCATCAGACAGAACAAAAAAATATTAAACCCATAAATTAAGACTCCCTCAGAAAATAACGAATCATGCGAAAACATAAAAGACCCTTCAATGATTAAAAATTGTGCACCAGGGACGTAGCTCAGCGGCACAGCACCTGCCTGACAAGCATAAAGTCGTTGAGTTTGATTCCCAGTACCAAAAAAAAAAAAAAAAAAATTATCAACTACAAAAGTTAAATATTTCTATTGAATTATTAGAATATAAAGCTCAAGGTTCTTGGAGAGGTAGAAAACAAATATACAAAGATGGAGAACGGAGTAAAAGGACAGTATGTCAGAGTTATTTAGGAGACCCACATCTGACTATATGAGTTCCAGAAATAGAGACACAAAGTTTTTTAAAGACATCATGAAAGAAAAAATTCCGAGGAATAAGGACACGAGGAAAGAAAAGGTCCCAGAAGCTCTTCTCAAGGGAAAAAAAGGTCAAAGTTCACAGACAGAGGATCAAGAACAACAGTGGGATGTGACTTTCAGCAGCAGCTCTGAGCCGGGCAAACAGCGGAACTAGGCGATCAAAATGTGAGTGAGATGATTCCCAACCTGGAATTGTGTACTTGTTCCCACTACCAGTCAGCAATAAAGGAGAATAAAGTCATACTCAGGCACACAAGTTCCCAAAAGGTTTCCTCCCCACATGCTTTCTAGGAAGAACATTTCCCCCTGAAATCCATGAGAAAGCCAGGGAGAAAAGCATGAGTTTCAGAAAACGAGATTCAGCGCAGAGGAAAAGAAAAAGGCATTCCCAGAATGGTAAGCTGTGCAGCAGATGAAAAAACATCCGTCCAAGGTGGAGCAGGAGGGCATAGATTCCAGGAAAGCTGTCTCCAAGACGAGACACATAGAAAAGATGTGTTTGAACATGTTGAGAAAAGATTTACGCTTTGGTGAAGCATTTAGTAAAGCCCATGGAAAAGGAAATGGTTAAAAAAAATGTGACACAGTCACTAGCTCTAGGAGAAACCAAAAGTTGTACAGGACAATTTAATTACAATATGCTACTTGATTTGGCTGTGACTATTGTTCACTGTGTTGCTTATGTGCTAATAATGTAAATGTTAAATGTTACGTTAAAATTTCAATATAATTTGATTGGGAAAGAAGGGGAGATGGAAAAATGAGTATGTGGATGTGGGTGATTTAGCCTGAAAAAAAAAGTAAAACCTTTGTCTTCCATAATAGAAAGTCAGTAGACAATATCTAGAGCTGAAAATTCAAGAGGAGGTAGGGACTGGAGCTTGGTACTACAGTCGTTTCCTAGCATGCGGAAGGCCCTGAGTTCAATCCCAGCACTGCAGAAAAAGAAAAAGGAAAATCAAGTAGTAGGGAGGACATACAATTTTTAAGTGTGGAGGTGAGTTCCACAAGAAGCAGCCAAACTTCTGTGTCTAGGGAGAAATATTTAGGGATGAGTGAAGAAAACAGCCTCTTTTTTTTTCTGATCAAAACCACCAGTGAAATTTGGCTTTTTGAGGTACTTTACCTATTATTTTGATTAAAAATAATTTCAAATGAAATGTGTGATGACTTGTTTGTAGTACTACTATTTCCTTTATTAAGGTGTTGTTCTCTCCTCTGGACCATCTCCCTGATTTTGAAACCTTTTTCCTATCTCAGAACTCACAATTCTTAAGTGCTGTGTTCTGGCCTGCACAGAGGGTGAGAATTAAATACAGCCAGAGTGCATTCATCTTTGTTATTCATTTAAGCCCTGAGAGGGCTGAAGAGTTCATACAAAGATCAGGCACCAGGCTATGGGCAACCTGTACAATGTACTACTTACAAACATTTGCTTGAAGAGGGGTCAACAGAGAGCCCTAAAGATGGTGTTCAGGGATGTGGTAGGAAGGAGCTAGAACTGATCATCTGTGGAAGCGATGCTAAAGGCATGGTTTCATCATCTTTTTCAAATATACAAAAGATGGTTTCCAGCTGTTCTGGATCTGGGGGGAAGCAGTGAGGAAATGAATTCACAGCAGAGCCTAAGGAATTACATAGAGATGGATGGATTTTCTGTCCCTAACTAGTTAACCAGGGCAGCTAAAAAAAAAAGTCCTGTTCTTGTAATAAAGACAGTTTCTATTTTCTGTAGGTCTGGAAAAATGAACTTTAAAGCTTCCTCACAGCCCTCTCAATCCCATCTTGCAGTGATTTTGCTGAAAGATGTATCAGGAAGGAACATGGTGTTTGCAGGGCCTCCGAGTCTCCTTCGCTCTGTACCACTTTGCACTGGAAGCAAGCTGTCCTGTGCAGCCAGGCTTTGTCCAAGAGCTTCAGCACAAAAGTAACTTTCCACAACCCTTGAGAGTTTTTAGTGAGCTGCGCTGGATCTTACTAGAGCTACAGCTTACTACAAGGACCTTGAAGTAGCTCACTTGGCTTTATGCTCTGTGTTGTCTGGCGGAACCGGAAGTTGCAGAAGTCCTGAGGCGCCATGACCCAGAAGTGTCACAGACCTCGGGTGAATGGGGCCAATGTACCCTTTGCCCAGCAGCTGGGATTGCTGTGGTGTTCTGAGGAACCTGGCTGCATTGCATTCAAGCAGCCATGAGTTTAAAAGAAAGGGAAACTGAGCTTCTTGGGGCACCTCCTGGAGGCATCTTGCCCTCCAGTGCTGCCCATGCTCTCCTTGCCGCACATAGAATTGGGATCAATTTGGCCAGTCAGCAGGTGCTCAACACACATTTCCCCCTGGAGGCATCTGAGTAAGCCTGATGGGATACTCTTTCTCTCTGCTACTACAGCCTCATCACTTGATTGCCCAGTTCTCAAAATACAGTCAAGTCCAGAGCTAAGTTTTGTTAGGGCTGTGCGTGTGTGTGTTATTGGGGATTGAACACAAGGACTTCATACTGAGTTACATCCCCAGCTCTTTTGTTATGATTTTTTAAAATTTTGCGATAGGATCTTGGTAAGTCAGTAGGTTGCAAGACTGGGCTCAAACTTGCAATCCTCCTGCCTTAGCCTTCCAGAGTGCTGAGATTAGACATGTGGTCAAGGTGCTGACTTTAAGTATTATTTTAAGCTTCACTTGGGGTGATACTCTTCCTAAAGACTGGTTTTCCTGGTTGTGAAAGAGACAGAGCTGACAGCATTAGCTGCATATACCCCATGGGAAGGATGACATGATGTTACTGTTTAAACTTAGCAGAAGTGGGCTGGGGGTTTAGCTCAGCGGCAAAAGCGCCTGTCTGGCAAGCGCAAGGTTGTGAGTTTGGTTCCCGGTACCGGAGAAAAACCAAAAAAAAAAAAAAAATAAAATAAATAAACTTAGCAGAAGTCTGAAAGAAGCAGGATGTGGCCCCAAAGACTTAGCTTTTTTTTCTGCAGAGCTGTTTTTAGTTTTGAAGGCAGGTATTGAGTGACTCCTGGCTCTGCAAGCTGGCTTAGGTTGAAAGGGCCTTCTTTTCAAGTTCCCTCTCTCATCATGTGATAACTCATGCTGGAACTGCTGCTGTATCTTCTTTAGCCAAGTCCTGTGAAGCCTAGAGCTATGACCAGTAGGTGTGAAGACCAGGAGAATCGAGGCAGTGTGGGAACTCCCTATACCTGAACTGGTTCCTCCTACAGAAGAAACCTCTTCAGAGAGCTGTACCTGGTCCCACATTTCAGGACCTGGTGGATCAGACCCTAAGGCTCCCATTCACAGTGGCTGTGAATCATTTGTTTCCCTACCAGATGGAAAACAGGTGTTGTCTTCTTTTTCCTGCATCCCCATTTCTTAAGCACTGTGATAAATTCTAAAGCATATAAATTTCAATGGAAAAGTAAACATTCTCCCTTTTTAAAAAAAAATGAGTAAAGGGAAAAAATGTGTCACATTTTCCTGGCCAACAGCTTCTAGTTTATCAGCTACAAATGAATTCCCATCAGCAACAGCTTCCTGGCCTTTGCTATTTTAGGTAGCATCAGGCTGTCCACCTTTCTGTGGATAGCTGGGTTTCAGTCCTCCTGTTCTGAGCACTACTGTCAGGTTTCCTTTTGCTTCCTGGATGACTTAAGCAGCAGTGAGATGCAGCAGTTGCCAGTTCTTGAGACATTACTGGCTTCAATCCTTTTTCTGCCTCAAAACCAAGGCTGTTGTCAAAACCTTAATTCATAGTGACTTATTAGCAACCCGGGCAAGTTGCAAAATAATCTATTCTGAAGAAAGCAAGCTTCCCTTGGAATCCATGAAGTTGCTTCTCGGAAAGGGCCTCATTTTCTAAAACTGGCATCTGCAGGAGTCCAGAAGGGCACCCAAAAGGTTGTGTTGTCCTCCTCCTACTTTGTTTCATTTTTCAGGTTTGGGGTTGCAGATGGTTGAGCCAATTCTGTTTCTTTTTTACTTCTTTTCTCTGCCTGTGAAACTGACTTGAACACATTCTTGGGAGCTGTGTCATGATAAGTCCTGTAAATGATTCACACTGAAGTGACCTTTAAAGAGAGAAGAAATCAGCTGAATTTTCAGAGCTGAGCAGAAGCCAAACACCCCAGGCTCTGTGTTCCTTCCCTTTGAACTTGAGCTCACTGTTACCTCACTGGCCCTGGTGCTAGTCATGTGATTTGAGGGTGATTTTAATCACCAGGTTAATGCCAACAATATTTACATATGCTCCTGTTTAATCCTGGGAGATTGGGATAGAGTTAAACTTCTGAAAAGGAAAATCAAATTAATGGGCAATTTTGGGGGCTAGTGAAAAAAATAGGTGCTGTAAGAAGTAAACATGTTCATTTGAGCTTGACATTATTCCATTTTTTTCTCTTCTATATTGCACACCACTGGAAGGCATTAAATTATTACAAGATATAATATAACCTTAGCTACAAGGTATATAAAAATTTTGTTTGATGCTCATTGTATCACTGTTTTATAAGTCAGTAGTGCCATTGATAAATTGAGCCAGAGAAGTTTTTTATTGCTTTTTAAGTACTGGCTTTAACATATTCTTTTTTTCCTATTTCCAGAAATAAAAATGATCCTTCTGACCATCCAATCCTTTCATCTCTCTCCACTCTTCTCTGTTACCATCAAGGAACAGTGGTGAAAGGGTCATTTTTTATCCCTTTGGTGAGGATTCCAAGAGTCATTCTCATGTACATTTATGACACACTGAAAGACAAGGTAAGGTACCAATCTAACACAGAGAAAGTTAAATCCTGGAAAACTACAGTGGGTCCCAGGGCAGGAATGCGTCCTGTGTTCCTTAGTTGATAGACCTACAAGTTTTTGTAGATACTCATCATGCTGCTTTTTTTTTTTTTTTTAACCTAAGAAAATGCATTGTAAGATAGAAATAGTACTTGTTTCTGTTGCAATGCAAACATCTTCCCCGCCTATTGTTTCTCTGAGGGGCACCATGGGAAATCACTGGTGAGTGTGAGGAGGAAGTGAGGGAGAAAGGGAGAGAGTTAGAATGAGTGTGTGTGTGTGTGTGTGCATGTGCGTGCACGTGTGTATGCATGTGCGTACACACTCTTGAGAGTGAGAAAGGGGCAAGCTGACCTACATGTCAGCTCAAAAGACTGGAAAACTGTGGGGCTTTTGTGCTGGGGGTTTTCTTCTCCCTGGTTTTTATTTCTATGCACATTTGGTTATGAATGCGAGTGGGAACCAGAACACCAGGAAAACAGCTGTTCTCATGGTATTTCTGGCCTGCCAAACAAGGCAAGCTTGGACTTTCCCCAACTTTTCTGTTCTCACACCGTGTTAATCTCTCTTCGTACCCTCTCAGGGTTCGTGACTTGATCAGAGTTTCACACACCTGCCTGATGCTAACCTATTCAGTACAGTTCTATATTCTTAGTGAGTTGGGGACATTTTACAAATGGGTTCATATTATAGTTTAAGTTTATTTTTGTTTGTTCTTTGAAACAGAAATCTGAGTTGTGGATATTTTTAAACCCGTAATCAAGATTTAACTTTAGTGTATCAATTAGGAACATGGATTGAATTTCACATAAAATTATCTGTCTTCCTTATCTTGAAGTGCATGCTAAGTAGTTGCCCCTAACTGTAGGCTGTCTTCTTGTATTTCTGTTAAAATCTTACCTGGCTACATTCTGGTGACTTAAGGAAGCACTCTCACATTCAGGATAAATCTAGCGATTTCTAGCTCTTGCATTTTAAGGTTGATCTATCAATCTTAGGAAACTGAAGAAGAAGTTCTTTAAAACAGCTTTTTGTATATTTGTGCATAGTTGACACACATACATGAATGTATATTTATATATCCTATTAATATATACATATATCTTATGTAGCTATATTTGTATAAATATATGTGTTAGTAACAGATGATCATAAATAAATGAGCAGCTGGGAGCTTGCTGTCCTTCCTTCAGGAGACATCTTAAACTTTTCCAGGAAACAGCTTCCTATAAACCTAAAAAACAAGTCAGAGGAAGATCCAAAGCATCCCTGACTGAGCTTTAAAATGTTACTTATCACTTCCTTGATCCCATAAGGACCAAGGGACCAAACTCTTTTAGATTAAAAGAGAAAAGTCTTTCTCAGCAGCCGTACAGCTCAGCTGTGTCTACCGTGGAAACGCTTTGCACGGCCACTCTGTGATCTTTCCAACAGGCTCATTCACAGCTGCTGCCAGGCTGAAAAGTACCCAGATCAAGTTTCACCCAATTGAGTTAGCACTGGGACAAGAAAAAGTCCATATAAGGCTGAGTTATTCCTGGGGTCCTCATAGTAGGCTATTTCAGGATTGCTAGCTGAGATTTCTTTTTATTAACTCTGGACAAGGTCAGTCACCCTTCCCCCAGGCATTTCATTCACTTATTCATTCATTCTTCAATGCACACTTTCAAGTTACATTTCAAAAGACTGATTTATCCCTTGAAATTTAGTTCTAAAAGCCTCACAATAGGATTTACTTCCTTTAAAGTTAAACTTGATTATTTGTGCAGGCACATAGGTAGTATCTACAATGCTTTATTTGTTTTCTGTTTGTTTGTTGTTGTTATTGTTGTTATTTGTCTTTGGGATTAACATTTCTTATGAACACAAATTTTGGGTTCCAAAAGGCAAACTGTACTATTTGAAACACTAAGGACAGATGAAAAAAGAAGAGAGATCCTTTTTACTAGAACCAGAAGACCTACTCTTCCTTTGCTACTGAAAATGGATTAACCCATTTCCCTTGCTGTTGAGGTTAATAGCAACCATACCAGGTAGGCCCACAAGAGGAACTACGCTCATCAGGTTGAGAGTAATTAGTGGCAGACACAAAACAGAACTTCTTCCACACTGAGTGAGAACCACTCTGGCTTTCCCCAGGTGTGTAAGTCTGTAGTGGAAACAAAGTGGGTGTGCTCAGACACCGTCTGCTTATCTCCTTTTTCTTGCTTTTCGTGCTGTTCCTGGACCTGATCCCAGCAGCACAGTGCGTGCTCCAGAGGTGCGTTCAGATGCTGCTGCTGCTGTTTCTCATATCTTGCCAGACACTTGTATCATCTTAACCAGGTATGTGTCCCACCCTGCATCCCAGGAATATGCAGAGGGGTGTGAGGGTAGTTTCCAGCTCCTGCATCAGAGATCGGCAGATTCTTCTGTAAAAGGTCAGGTTGTGTAATTATTTCAGGTTTTTGAGCCATATGGTCTTTGTAGAAACCATTGAACTCTGCCATTGCAGCAGAACAGCGGCCATGGACAAAATATGAAGGAATAGACATGGCTGTGTTCCAATAAATCCTCACTGATGGACTGCCGAAATTTGAATTTTGTATGATTTTCACATGCCAAGAAATGTTCTTCTTTTGTTTTTTTTTTTTCCCAATCATTTTAAAATTGTAAGAATCATTCTTAACCAGAGGAAAATGGGTGGTCTGATAAACTTGGCCCCAGGCTGTAGTTCATAGATCTCTATATTGGAAATGAGGCTATTAAAACTATTTCTAAAATTCTGAAAGAAATGGGTTTCTCTTCTCTGATATAAAAAGTGTTGGAATCTTTAGAAACCCTAGCATAATGAATACATATCAGCTAAGAGCTAATCTTCCATGACTTCTCTAAGATCTATAATTTTCCCAAACTAGGAAAAGAATCACCTCCTTAATTTTTACTTTTTATTTCTCAAGCTATAATTATCACTTTAAAAATCATAAAAATGATATCTTGCAATTGTTTTAACTAGATTTTGGCTCTCTTGAATTTTTCAAATTGTTGTAAATATAAATACATGTTTTATTTTTCTGTAGATAGTTTAGGAAACTTTAATAGCCCTTAGTCAAATTTACATAAAGCAATATTTTGTAAGTCAGCAGGATGTTTTATAATTTAAATGTTCACAGAAATCTCACTTAGAAAAATACTTCTTTTTATTGCCTATCTTCCTAATGAATGTACCATTAAAAGTAAAGGGACTAATTATACCATCCATGCTTGGTGTCTTGTAAGTGGTATTTACAATACCTTCATTATTCAGAGAAAGTGTAGCTGTCTTATAGCAAAGCTCTATTTCTAAGGCTGTTCTTAAGAATGTTGGAATACATCTAATAGCACATTTCATTTTCCTTTGGCTTTCCACAAACTAGCACATATAAAACAAAGTAAAATACCAAAGCACCTTTCAGAATGATGGGTCACATAGCAAGTGAAGCCAAACCCTGGTAATATATTCAGGGAGTAGCATGCTGTGCTTCTTCTCTTAGAACAATGTGCATGAAGTTGGGCACCAACTTACCCCATAAAGATTTTTGAGATGCATTACAAAGGTATATTAACAGTAATAAAATATACTTGCCTGAAAAGTCAAGGTTGAGAAATATAGGCTAAAAAGTCAAAAGCCATGTGACCATTGATACAAGCATGTTGGCCGCATGGTGCTTGAGCATTCCTGGTTGCAGTTGCTACCTCCTTGTCACTGTTCTGTGAGATCCAGGTTCTTCCTGCATCCCTCTTTCACAGGTAGTTTTCAAACTGCTCTTTGGAAACCTAGCGATTCCTTCTGGTTCTTGTGGGTGCTGTCCGGTCAGGAGGAAGGAGAAATGGCTGAGAAGGAGGAAGGATAAGTGCTGCCTCATCACCCTGCCCTGCCTTTTCCCCACAGCACCCTTGTTCTCATCTGGTTTAGGCTGGAAACCTAATGAAGATGTCGTGTGAAGACAGGGACCCGCCTCCAAGCATATCTGAAAGCCGCAGTCTCCTACCGCTCTCACACTTGTCTTCCCTACCTTGTCACCCCGAGGCATGTATTTTCTGCCTTGTGGAATTCCCTTTCTTATACTTACTCAGGACCTCTTTCCTTGACAGTTCAAAACATTTCTAAGATCATAAGTTAGTATTAATATTAACCATACTGTAACTACCATTATAAAAGTGATACATCCTTGCCACAGGTAGAGAATTGGAGTAACTGTCCTTAAAGCACAAAAAGGCTAAACTAGTCCTGGTACAACTCCTAGAGTGAGTTGGTGCAAACAGGGATGGGGCTCTGGGATTCTAATCATAGTGTCTGTGGCTTATACTGGCTGTATGGCGACTTTACGTTGGGTGACGGCTATACAGCTGGGCAAAGCCAGCTCATGTGACCACTGCTAAGACAATTGAGGTTTAGGAAATTGAGAAAGAAGAGGAAAGAAAATGAAAAGGAAAGAAGGGAGGGAGGAAAGGGGGAAAGGAAGGGAGAGTGAGCCGATATGAATTAAGATGAGGTAGGAGGGGTCACCTCTAGTCTAACTACTGAGAAGCAGGATGAAGTAAAAATCTTTTTTAAAAAGGATGGTGATTATAAAAAGGTGATCAACATTGTTGTGAATCTCATCTCACAGTAGACAAAGGACAGTGAGCTTCACTGAGAAGAGGAATTTAGGTTCGTCTTTTGAGAAATGGCCTAGTACTGGAATGAATTATTAGAGGAATTCTGGCATCTGTGTGTCTGAAAATTAGATTCAAAAGGACTAAGGCCTACTTTATTTTCCTTGTTTTATGGAATGGGAAAAGGGAAATGCTACAAGAGAATGAGATGCACGCGTCACCTTCAGAACCCAGGTGTTTCCTCCTCAACATCTAGGAGCTGACTGTGTCTCACCGTTGCTTTTTAAAAGCCTTGTCTGTCTTCACAGAGTCCCAGGAAGGAGGCAGGTGGCACCTAGCTGAACGCTGCACAGTAATTCACTTGCAGAGTAGGAGATAAAACCCCAGATCTCATCATTTCTTATTTACTTCTCTCTACATCACAAAGACCAAATGTGTATACAACTGGAATACTGTGTCACCTCATATATTCAGTTATGCAGCAAATATTTGCTTATTTATGGTATAAGCAACCATTTGAACCTGGACACAATGTAGGGATTCTGAGTCAGGGTAAAGCCCAAGCCAGGCCTTCAAGATGTTGACAAAACAGTTGGGGAAAGAGTGTGATAAGAGGGATATGGGTGAGACATTTGTGTAACAGTGTAGAAAAGTACATGTCACAATGCTGGAATCAAGGCTGCAGAAGTTCAGAATAGGAAAAACTTGGTAACTGAAGGAGACCATTTGATGATAATTGAGGGAAAATTCATACAAGAGGTTTGGACCTGAGTATAAAGCAATCACTAGAGATCACCAGCTAATAAATAACAAGAGCTATAGGCTGTTGGCACTTACCTGGAATGCCAGCTGTAAGCTAAACACTTTTCTTACCTTATATAGATAGTATATCCAATTTATATATAAGGGAACTGAGGCTTAGAGAAGGCCTAGAGTTGGTGGAAGAACTAAGAGTTCAATCCAAGTTTGGTTTTGCCTGCAGGACCAAGCCCTTAACCATGTTGCATTTTTTCCACAGTTGGGTCTCAGGATAACACGTGGACTGTTGTCTTTCATATCCGTCCAAGCCAAGGGCCAGACAAGCTTGGTTGCTGACAGCAAGTCTTGTTGGCACCCAGCTCCTGGAGGACAAGAAAGGTGTAGGACCAAGAAGATGCCAGTCTATGAATCATGCAATTATAGAACCAGAAAAGCCTTGCCGGGTAGTCCGCCCCACCTCCTGTCCTCAGGCAAATCGTGGCTTCTGAGAGTCTGTACCAGCTCATCTCAGCGGCTCTCAGGCATGGTGTCCCTGTGGCCTCCCTCCTCCCTCTGGCAGTGTCCTGGAACCTGGCTGAGTCCCCTGTGGGACCCAGCAGGCTCACCACTCAGCAAGGAGGGCTTGCCTCTTAGTGTTTCTCACGGCTGCTGCACACAGTCCCCTGAAAACAGCCTCCCCAAGTGCACACAGGCTCTGACGTTGGTTTTATTCATTTATTTGTTTATTTGGTACCAGGAATCAAAGTCAGGACCTTGCACTTGCCAGGCATGCACCATGCCACTGAGCTATATCCATGGCCCTGATGTTGGTTTTAGGTCAGTGTCCCCCTAAGTCTGAAACACATTGGGGGCCCCAGTGCTCTTGCTCCAAACTGAAACCAAAAAATTTTTCTTTTTCAATTTTTATTGACAAGTGCCATGACCTGCACAGGGAGTGGAGTCTTGGGAGGGGGCAATGGGAGATTAAGAAGAACAAGAAACATAAAAGGAAAGCTGGGACCAGGTGGGACCTGACCTCTCTGATGGAGAGGAAGCAACAACATCTCGTCTTTATTTATACAAAGTAAAAAGAAAGGGAAAAGCACAACAGGGTGGAGAGTGTCAGATCTCAGTGTTTTGCTGAGAACACTGAAAATGAAACATTCTCAAAGCTATCTGTGCTGTACCTAACAAGGAAGAACACCGAGGCTGGACACCTGTTGATGTGCAACTGAGAGGCCAACGTACTTACATGGTCTGCCTCTGTCATTCCGCGTCTTTGGGACTGGCTCTGCTCTAGTCTCAATAAGTTTGCTGACCTCAGGCTCAACCACGGCTCAGCTGCTCCCCAACAGACAAGTAGCAGAGTTCCGTAGATTTTCATCTTTGCATACAAAAAAGAGCTATTTACCAGTCAGTAAAGCTGATAGTGTGTTTTAAACCTTACCGAAATGTGCTTTTTATAAACTCTGATTGCTGTTTTAGTTCATTTCCAAAGAACTCAGATTGGTCACTCTGCTGAGTGCAGCTGCCGAGACAGTGCCTCCTGCAAAGACTGTGACTATCCTCCCTGACAGTTGCAGCTGCCGAGACAGTGCCTCCTGCAAAGACTGTGACTACCCTCCCTTGACAGTTGGGGCTCTGCGAATCGGGGACGGAACATTGTACTACAAACAGTGTTGTCTTGAAGTGTTCGATTACAGTCACTCTTGTCTTAACTAACATCGTATTTCTGTTGATTATTTGCTTCTTGTTTAATTCATATATTTTTGTTTTCTTCAGTGCTGCCTTTCTTTCAGTCCTTTCCTTTTCCAGAAGAAGTGGGCATAGGTATAGGAAGTGAGCTACTGGCTGATTTATACCCAGTTTCCTGGGAGATGCTTCCACGTACAGATAACTCTAGTCAGGAGTAGCAGGTTCGACTCTGCCTCTTCATTCTTTGCACAACTTAGTGAGCCGGTCAACCTCAC